AGGTTGGAGACTGGACGATAGTTGCTCAAAATGGCTGGGTCCAGAGATGGTTTCTTCAGGAGGGGTCTCACCACCGATCCAGAATGTTTAGTGATTTAGTTTAAATCCAGAATGTTTAGTGATTAAAAAGCATCCATCTTAGAATGCAGTCATATTACCATGTCCAGACTTAAGTTGTACCGAGATGATGATTTAAGAATAAATCCAGTTAATTAAGAGCAAGTGACACAATTACTAGTCAAATGTTATATTTGAGAGGAAGGTAATAAAATTGGCCCAGATGTTCTTTCAGGCATAGTAATATCTACTTACTTTAATATAAAGATTTAAAAAGTCACACTATGCGTAAAATAACAGAAATGATCTCACTAACCCTGTGTATGATTCCAGCTGAGTGAAGATGCTTGATGCCGCACAGCATCTGATACAGCAAGTAGGACATCCGTTCGTGGTCCAGCTCCATCTGGATGACTTGGCAGAGGTTGGCATCCATGAGCTCCATCACTATGTAACTTTGGAGGGGAGGGGAAACAGGCAGTGAAGTCACGGCAGAAGGTCTCACTGTATCGACAGTTGTGCGTCATTACAGTTGACACAGGCTTCTTCCCGAAATTCATACTTACACATCTTGGAATTCTTCCAGCGATTTCTGTGGGGTGAACACGTTTAGCAGACCAATTATCTATGAAGAAGAAAAAAGGTACAGTAATGAGCACACAATTTTTGATTATAATTTATATAAAAAGTAAGCTGCAAAACTGGAGAATCTGATTAATTTAGTCTTAGAGCACTAAAATTTCTATATTGTTTGCTAATTTACACCTGGGTTACAATACCGATCAATTTTATCCTTAATGTTGAAAAATGCCCAGATTTAGAATTTGATGGTCTACAATGGAAAGAGAAAATCCTTCTTGAGTAGTTAGTACAAAATTAACTTGAATAAACAAACCATAAGACAGAAAAGAACTCAGATGACAAGTGTGTATGATTGTGAGAAAAATAACACCTAAAAAGAAGCAATGGGTTACGTAGGCAAATCTGAGCCCCCCTCTCTCTTCCTTAACTATGCACAATTTCTAAAACATAAAGAAGAGGAAATTGTTCAACTGACTCCCAATTCAACTTATTGCCAGGTATAAATGTATTCAGCTTTATTATAATATCCACCCAGACAGGAGACATGATCTTTGAAAAATATCCTATTAAGGATGCGAATAAAACTAGGGGAGACCTGATGGAACGACTTTAAGCTTCAACAAAAAAGGCAGGACGGATTTGCAATAAACCAATTTAAACTGTAAATCCAATACTTCCCTCTAACAGTTATACCTTGGGGTTTAGTCTTCTTAATTTATCCTTGAATTGTAAAGACAGCCAAAGAATCACTTCCTGAAGAACAATTTTGATAATTGTTTTTAAGTCTGCATAAGTAGACTTACATTTTTGTGGTTTACACACTTCATGAGGACCAGTTCTCGATAGGCCCTTTTCGCATGTGTTTGATTTTGAAATGGTCGGCTGAGTTTCTTTATTGCAACATTTCTTTCAAGAAGCGCATCATAAGCTGCACTGTGAATAAAAGAAAACTGCCATTGCTGACAAGCATGCAACCAGGCACCGCCAGAAATGGATTCAACAGGTACTTATCAACATTAGCACAGTACATAATTTCAGTTTTGGTGAGATGACAGAATTCAATAAGGGAATACACAAGAGCCGAAGCATGAATTTTAGCCATGAACCCAAGCGGAAATCTGGAGCCAGATCAGGCAGAGTAAACTCTACACTTACTACAATACAAGCTGTTATTATTTGCGTTCTTCTTCAGAGGAGTGAGTACAGGGACAGGGTCTTTTCTATGGCACTAAAGGATTCTGATTTTTCCAGAGAATAGAACCCGTCTCTTCTTCAGTCCTCAAGGGCTTCCATTCAACATGGTTGCTGCATCTACCTTTTTCCCCACCCAAAAGTAACACTTAAAGCATTTAACAGAATGTACCATCCTGTTGAAGCAACTTCAAGTGAGAAAAACAACCACCTTGGAATGAAAGGCCCCATAACAAAGAATCTCCTCTCTTTTCCTGAGCCCAGAGAGGCCCAGGAGCCACCTCCCATGGACCAGTGATAGCCCATCTGTCAGGAAACGGGCTGGAGTTTCCTCTTCTGTATTGCTTCCCATCAGAAATTCTGATTCTCTCCAAGAAGGATCTCCTTTGTCTGATGGAGAAATTGGGCGGCCGGGGGGTGGGGGTATTCCTCTCTTCCAGGCAAGACTAGAAGGTAAATGCTCAGGACGGGTGCTGGGTGGGGAAAACACTGTTTCCCTCTTCTGAAGCAGGGGCGGTCAAAATGATGGCAGCAAGTTGGATGAAAGGGACTGAAAGCCAGAATAAAAGCTGGACCCTTTACAGCAAGCAGGGAGTTGGTCCTATATATAGGCTACTTCTTCTTAGAAAGAAAATTGACACTGTTCCATCTTTGATTGTCTTCTCTTCTTCAATAAAGAGAGACTCTTTCACTGAGGAAAATGCCTTACCATACTATCCCCTGTGCACCTGAACCAATCGGCTTCAGATTCTGGTATCGCTTTAATACAGTGAAAGTAGAATCTCCAATTTCAACACTGTAGAAGTTACTTTCACGCTTGCTTCTGCTCATGATGCCTCCAGCTGAAGAGCTTAAGCTAAAAGACGCCAACCTGCAATGAACAAATCAACATTTTCCAGACTCACATAAAATGGCACATTATTCTATTCTGCTTTCCTTCACTTACATGAATGAAGGAAGAACGATACCAAATAACGCGTAGGAACCTCAGGTACATACTTCATGGTTTACATTAGTTAAGTAATGAGCAGAATTATTTTGTGTTCAAATCCAAGACAACTTGGCTTTCATTTCTAAGCCAATTTGAGTTAAAGTGCACATTCACATGAATGATTCTACAATCCCAACCTGTTGTTCCTACATCCATGGAGTCATGTCAAGAATTTATGAGTAATGTAACCTGATTTTGCAACCAATCATCTGTAACAATCCCACAAAGCAACAATGTAGGAAAAACCCTATCCTGAGGCAGGTAACCCCAAATTACTTAGCAAAAAAGAAGAAGGAAAAGGGGGGGGAACCAAACTCCCTACTGAATATTTTCAAGCATCTTCAAAAGCCTCTTGTTCCACATCACCATTTCAAATTGTACCATGTTGGAAGAGGCCATTTAGCCTAATGCCATGCTTGGTGTGGGAATCCAAATTATCCCTGACAGATAAACTGTGTTTTTGATTGTATACAAACAGTTAAAGGAATCTACCAAATTCCTTAATCGGCTGCACTGCTCTTACCATTAGTGATTCTTCTTTTTGTCTAAAATTCAACCTGAATCAACCTTCCTGTAGCTTAAATCCATTATTCCAAGTCCTGCATTCTGAAACGATAAAAAAAGGAAGTCTCAGCTTTCTTCAATATGACAACTCCATCCAGAGATCTAATGAGTGTTATCATCTCTAACCAGCCTTCTCTGGGCAAAGCTACGTTTCCAATTCTTTCAATTTCTGGCCTTGTTTTCTAGACCCTTTTAGGGCCCTCCTTGGGATTTGCTTTTAAAATGCGGTGCCCAGGACTCCCAAACTTCTACTACCGTGCAGCAGCCTTAAACTACACCGATGATCTCTGAAGTGCTCGTTCATATTCAATTTGCAATCAGCTTCTATTCTGAGATCTTTTTCACAAATAGTCTCGGCAAGGCAGGCACACCTCATTCTAGACCCTGCATTTAATTTGTAGACAAAACCTGGAAGGAAATGCAAAGAACGCAGAAATCACTGTTACTTTCAGCTCACTTGTCTCATCCATCAAGATTATTCGGAATTTGGCTAGTTCTTTTTACAATACTAGCTAAGCAACCCAATTCTGTATCATATGCAAACTGATAAACCTTTATCTCTTCACCTATGCTAACAATATAAGTATTGGAAGACAGAGGACCATCCATGGGACATTCTCCTTAACATCTCCTTCAATGTTGTATCTATTTACCTGTTTCAGATCATTTGACATCCTTTGTTTACTGATAATTGCCCCCCCCCCCTAAGAATGAAAGGAATTACATTGCACATTTAAGTATCTGTCATGCTCGGCTAATGGAAGGCCAGGGGTCCCACCAAGGGCCTTTCCGCTTTGTGCTAAAGAGCCAGGAAAGGCCAAGAGGCCAGTGACTTTTGGAAGGGAAGCCCCAGGCATGAATGAGGCCAGGCAGCCTCAGGTGAGGGAGAGACTCTGGCATAGAAATTCGACTCTGGGAGCGACTGCAGGACCGACTGGCACTTAACGTTATTTTCATCATCATCATCATCATCATCAGCTCTGCATTCACAGGTTGCGCTGATTGCAAAATAAATAGGGGGGATGAGTTAATCCTCCATTTATGTTCCAGGCCAAGAGGCCCGAAAGGTCATTCCATCCAATCTGCATCTCCACCATATTGCTGCATGCATTTCTTTTCCATTTCAAAGCCTGACTCTGAAAACAACCACGGGGGCTTCCTTTCCAGGGCGAAGGAAGGAAGGGAGACCCTCTTTTGCTCCCGCCGGCAGGGAGAGGCCGCTTCTATCCGATCAGCGCCTCCGCTCGGCACCTGCACGGCCGCCCCAGCCCAGCCCAGCCCCCAAGGGTGGGAGGGAGGAGGAGGAGGCCGAGGCCGCCGGTGGGGCCAAGGGGCAGCTGGGCGGGGGGCGCGGGCGCCGGGGTGGGGCAGCCGCAGGACGGGACGCGGGCATCCCGAAGCCGCCGCCGCCGCCTCTGCGCTCCTCACCTGGGCCGACCCCCTCGCCCACGTCAGGCAGGCCGAGCTCCTGCCTCGCTCGGCCTTGCGCTCCGGCCACGGGCCCAGCAGCCTCCGGGCGCTCAGGTGCACCGCTCGCCGCCTCCGCGCCCTCCGGGTCGGCGCCGACAGGAAGGAAAGAAGCAAGGAAGGAAGGAAGGAGCCGCCGCTGCCGCCGTCAATGCGGCCTCTCTGGCCGCCGCCTCTCCTCCTCTCCGCGGAAGCGACTCCGCCCCCGCCCCGCCCCTTCTTCCTCTCCTCCTCCCCCCCCCTCTCCCCGGGCACCTGGAGCGCCAGCCAACAGGCCCGCCCACCCGCCTGACGTCATCGCGCGCCACCCGCGCCTGCCCCTTCCGCTGCGCCGCCCTCGCGTCCCGCATTGGGAGGGAGGGAGGGAGGGAGGGGAGGGGGCTCTCCGCGAGCTGCGCCTGTGCGGGAGCCCCCACCCACCCCGCACAGGGATGGGGGCGGGGTGTTGCGTGTGGGGGCGGGGGTTGCCCTGCAGGCCTCTCCGGTAGTAGCGGGGGACTCGGGCAGTGGGAGGGGGTCCCGGTCACTCCCCCCTGAGCCAGCCGTGTGAGGCAGCAGCCCAAAACTCCCCCTCCCTCCCTCTGATGCGCACACCCTGCTCTCCACCCCGAGACATGAGGCTGACCCGGCTGCAGCCATGTTCTGTGTTATGATGGGCTCCAGGAGGATGAGGGGACGCTATTCCCCCCCCCCCCCCCCACACACACACACTGAAGCAGGCTAAATTTAACTCTGCTGCGAGAGCAGCGGAGGGGGAAGAAAGACGCGGGCGGCCGACACCCGTTGCTTCAGCCAGCCTGCGCCACACACACACACCCCAAAAAATCTTCTCATGGACCCCCAGTGATCTGCAGACCAGTTGGAGGCCTCTGCTCTGGAGGCTGCAGGAGATTCCTCATCAGTGGAGGTTTTTAAGATTGGACGGCCAGCTGTCTGAAATGGTTTAGGGCCTCCTTCCTGAGCAGGGGTTGGACTGGAAGATCTCCAGGGGGCCCTTCCAATTCTGTCCTTAGGGGGCTCTGGGGAATCTGGACCAGTTGGACCGAGGCAGAAAACGCAAGATGTTAAAAAACACACGGGTGGGAGTCCCGTTTGCACCTGATAGATTTTCATAACAGATTCTTATGAAACATTTTTTAAAAAATAATTATTTGTTTCTTTGTTTTATTGGATTTATATCAAATAATTTATTTATATTATTCTCTCTACCATCCTTGATTTGAAGCCAGAGTGTTTGTACAGTATTCTGGGTATGACCTCAGTGGAATGCAGGATAAAATCGGCTTCTCTTGATTGTGACACTATATTTCTGTGGGTATAATCTTGTAAAGGGTGTCAAACTCAAGGCCTGCAGGCTGGATCCAGCC